AAAAAAAAAAAACCAACAACAAAAAGAACAATACCTACCTACGTACCTACACTACCTACGTAACGTCTGTCCCTGCGTGCCGAAACGCACCCCGTAACGAGACAAACCCATAGTTTACTAATCACAACTTTTTTCTTAGCAGGTCTATGAATTTGTGCTTAAAATCTTACTTTCTTCAACTATTTCTCCCTAAGGAGACCACTTAGCAAGAAGAAAATAACTGTGGTTGGTTGTGCTGTCGATCGTTTCAATCGCGCTACTGATCGCCGTTTGGGCTGTACCCCCATGCTTAATCACGACTATTAGAGTCTCTTCAAAATTCGGAGCACTTAGGGAAAGGTGCCATATCAGAAGAATATGGCTCCAATTTTTGAAGACACTTAAAGGGGAAATGATGCAGCCCGGGAGTTTCTCCGATGTGAGGAGAGGGGTGCATAACCGCCACATGTTTTAGCTTCATTTTGTGCTTATTAATATGCATTAGCGGGGTTATATTATATTGTATAAATCCGGGCTCGCTATATTTTCCTCGGCTACTACTTTTAGGCCTGATCATATGCGTGGCGTTAGAATGTCACGGGTGTGGCGTAGTAAAGTCCGTCCCTCCGTAGTTATGTAGTTACCTAAGGTAGATACCCTCGTAGAACATCTGGGTTCTTATAGGCCGTCTCTCAAAGCCGATATTCAAAACCTCACATCTCTTCTTTCACCATTTATCGAAGATTAGTGCTTGCTAGATTAGAGGCTATAGCTTAAGATGTTGACTAAAAACCAAATTGCATCTAGAGAGCATACTACTCGATCATTAAAAAAGTTGTTTAAGTACTCTAATGATTACTCGTCTTTTCTAACAGAAATTGCTCGTTCTATCTCTCTTAGCCTAATACCGAAGTTTCAACTCCTTTGGCGAGCTTTAGAGGACAAGACGACGGTAGTACGGCTTTACAAAGTCCTTGTATCCGTAACCCCGATGACCCAAGTATCACATCATTCACAGATTATCTTTCATCTCCTATAAATTGGGGAAAGATGGACCAGTTTAGAGAGGATTATTTTTTAGTTAAAACATAGAAGTACTATATAGACTCCCGACGCAATTTTCAATACCTACAACATCCTTAATTATCTCTCCTTCAGTCTGACATACACTATGATCACAAGAGAAGTGACAAATGCCGACGCCGGGCTGCATTATATGGAAATACAGATTTTGTGCAGACAGATTTTGTGCAGACAGATTTTGTGCAGACAGATTTTGT